GGCAGCCCCGGGAACGGAGCAGCCGCTGGGGGGGACGCAGAGGGGCCGGGGAGCTGCAGCCCCCTCTCTGCCTCATCCTACACATTTTCATATTTGTTAGACGCTGTGACCTGCGTTTCACCTTATTGCACGACTTGCTCAGACAGGTCAAAGCCAAAGATTTATTGATGAACAAAAGCGTTATATATTCACCTCCTGTTCAACTGCCCATACAGAAGGCTTTTGATCTATCTGCCTTTTTGTATTCTGGTTCATAATCGTCGTGCTAAATGTACGTTAGCAGAAAACGAGTAATCTGTACATTGAGGGCCGGCCCTAAAACAAAACGCCAAGGGCACCTCCGTGACGCGGGGCTGTGCGAGCAGGGAATTACCTATGGGACTAAACCAAAAACGCAGCGCTCGGGGCAATTGTTTATCTCGCACTTAAAGGGCTCGAAACTCATATCGACACACAGGGTAAAACGAGAACGAGAACCCGGCGAGAAGTAGTGAAAGAGCTTAGTGAGCAGGGGACGAAACGGGAAGAAATCCAAACAAACAGAGCTTCGCTCCCGCGCGCTCCCCCATCGGAGCACAGCCTGCGGAGCGGGGAGGGCGAGGCGCACGTAATGAACCTTCACACACCGCAGCCTTCCCCTTCCGTCTGAGGGACAAGGCAGAGCCAGCCCGAGCGGCAGCTCGCTGCGTATCCTGCAGCACACCGCGCTGCTCTCTTCCTCTCCTTCACGCGCGACAGGCGCGGACCAGCACACAGCTGGAGAAAGCCGCCCCCTCCGCACCGTGCCCACCTCCCCCCTTCTCCCCCCCGCCCCCAGCGCTGCCGCCCGGCCCTACGGCACAGCGTTGCCTGCCCGGCCCGGGCACCGCCACCGCTCCTCCTGCCCGGGCTGCTCCAAACGAGGCGGCGGCACGGCTCCGGCCCGAGCCTCCCAGAGCAGAGGGCAGTGCCCCGAGCCGCCCGGCGGCAGCCAGGCACCTGCGAGCCCTATAATAAACCCCTCTGCCTCAGCCAGGGCTGCCGGCGACGTGGCACCGCGCAGCGGTCCCCAAAGCCTTAACGCGCTGACACAGCTTTGGTTGGTTGGTGGCAACGACATGAGGCAGAGATACGGAGCTTCTAATTGCTCTGAGGGGGAGAAACGGTGTTTTCAAAGCACTCAAATTCTGCGAGAAATAAGAGGTCACTTACCGCGAGTGCCCTTCCATGGTGCTGGACCTGTTGCAATACAAACGTTTGTTACTGCCGTATTCCACACGCGGGTTGTATTTCTGGAGGACTGTTACAGAACGCGGGTGATGGATGGAGGCAGAGGAGCCGGCAGCATCCCGCGAGCAGCGCGGTGCTGGGGCGGGTGGGGTGGGAGCCCCTTCTGAGCGGGGACCGTATGGAACCCGGGCATCCCTCGGACACGTGCCCTCCCGAGCTGCGTGTGAGCTTCACCTTTTCGAGCCATAGCCCAGATTTTATAGCAGATAATTAGTAAAGGGATGGAAAGTCAGACCTCATCTTTCACTGGTGGGGGAAAAAAAA